GCTCGGGGAACACTCTCATGAGTTGTGTTATCTTGTCTGCTCGGTAATATTACACCCAGACTGAAATGATACGGATGCAACCCAGGCATGTTCAGTGATATACTTCACTTGTAGGCTCGGTAGTGGTCCACTTGAACAAAGCATGGTTGAAGTACTTCCGGGCATTTTTACCAATTGAATCCACTCAGTTGTGGCTTTGCAGCCGGGCACGGGGGTGGCTGAAGGACTTTAATATTTAATCACTAGCATTACCCGGGGTGAGGCCTGGGCATTTTTGCTAATCTGGTTCACTTGTCTGCTTGGTGATTATGCATCTGGACATGGCAGCAGCTGAAATACTTGGACAGTTTAATATGAAATCGGTTCTGTCATCCAAGATGCAGCCCGGGCATTTTTACCGATTTAATGCACTTGTCTGCTCCATGATTTTGCACCCGGACCAACTAAGGTAATTCAACAATTTAATATGAAATTACCAGCATCACCTGACATGCAGCCCAAGCGTTTTTACCAATTTGGTTTATTTGTCTGCTCTGTGATCTCGCATCTGGACACGGCACCAGTTAAAGTACTTCACCAATTTAATATTAAATCGGCTCTATTACCCGAGACGCAGCCCGGGCACTTTTACCAATGTAATTGACTTGTCTGCTCGGTTATTTTCCACCCAGCCTCGGCACCAGCCAAAGTACTTCACCAATTTAATATTGAATCGGCTCTATTATTTGACATGCAGCCTGGGAACTTTTATCGATTTAATTCACTTATCTGCTCGGTTATTTTCCACTCGGCCTTGGCACCAGCCAAAGTACTTCACCAATTTAATATTGGATCGGCTCTATTATCCGAGACATAACCCGGGCACTTTTACTGATTTAATTCACTTGTCTGCTCGGTTATTTTCCACCCAGCCTCGGCACAAGCCAAAGTACTTCAACAATTTAATATTAAACATGTCTATTATGCGAGATGCAGCCTGGGCAATGTTATTGATTTAATTCACTTGTCTGCTCGGTTATTTTTCAC